AGCATCATTCCTTTAGTTTCATTACAATTTTCGGAGTACTTCAGATAACATCCGTATTTCACTGCTCACTTGACTCCTAGCTAACTTGGATCTCGATTATACTGTGAAATTTTGATTTCCATTTTCTGGCACAGCTAGTTGTTTGTGATCTGGAATGTGCCAGCTTACGTTAGCTGTTCACACCAAGCTGATCATGCAAGAATTACATTGTTGATGGTTTATTGCCTGTAGCATTAGCTTTTTAAAGAGGGGTACAAAATTCGCTAGTAATGTGACAGCGGTAAAGTTGGACTTATATTCGAGATTCGACACACATTTGCACTTCCGATGTCAATAGCGTTAAGGGAGAGCGTATGACGAGATTCCCACTTACATATTCCTTCTCCATAGAACACAAACTCAGGACTACAATATTTCTTTTTACTTTTTGTAAGAAATTCTCAACACATTTCCCTGAATTCAATGGTGCATTAAGCAGATCTTCACATACAAAAGTAAGGGACCTTGTGCTGAACTTCAAAATCTCAATAGCGTCTATACTGTAGGGCCAGCTGAAACCCAAGCAATTAGATAACTACTAATTAGAACTAATAAGAACTTCCTCTAATTGGAACTTAATACAGCAGCAGAATTTCAATAAATTAAAAGTATTAATTCAATACTTTTAATTGTAGGAGCCTAAATTGCAAAACCCAGTGCATTATGAGTGCACTATTACTGCAACTTACTACAGGAAGCCAAATTTAAGAAAGCCTTTTGTAGCATATTAGTTAATTTGTGAATTTCCCCCGTTGTGGGACTAATAAAGCATTGTCTTATCTTTAAACATCAAAAACTCAATTGCTTCTTTACTGTAGGACCCAAAACTGTAAAACCAAATGTCTTAAAGAGGTGTCATATTATTTGAACTAATGAATGTTTTAAACATTAAAAATTCAATAACTGCTGTACGCCCTAACATTTTAAATCCAAATGCATTAAAGTCTGCCATAGTAATGCAGCTTACCTCAACATGTAGAATTAGAATAATACATCTTTTGAATTTCAAATCATTTTTTACACACAATAATCAATAACTTCTTAACTGTTGGACCCTACATTTTATTGGAGCTGACTATAGCAAACAAAATATACAACCCCATTTCCAAAAAAGTTGGGACGCTGTGCAAAATGTAAATAAGAACACACTTCAATGACGTGCAAATCATTTAAACCATATATTTCATTGAAAATAGTACAAAGATAACAAATCAAATGTAAAAACTCAGAAATTTTATTGTTTTTTGAAAAATATATGCCCATTTTGAATTTGATGCCAACAACACGTTCCACAAAAGTTGGGATGGAGGCATGTTTACCACTGTGTTGCATTACCTCTTCTTTTAACAACACTCTGTAAGCATTTGGGAACTTTGGGAACCAATTCCTGTAGTTTAGAAATGTTTTCCCATTTTTGCTTAACATAGGATTTCAGCTGCTCATCAGTTCGGGGTCTCCTTTGTCATATTTTTTATTTTATAATGTGCCAAATGTTATCAGTGGTGGTAGGTCTGGGCTGCAGGCAGGTCAGTTTAGCATCCGCAGTCTTTTAATACGGAGCTATGTTGTATACATGCTGCTGTAATACATGCAGAATGTGGTTTGCCATTGTCTTGCTGAAATAAGCAAGGCCTTCCCTGAAAAAGATGTCATCTGGATGGCAGCATATATACATCAACACAGGTTGGAAATTAAAACACTATAGAATTAGTGCAGCAAGCAGTTTTATTTTTAGAGAACAAATGTATCCCTCTGGAGGACAGACAGAGATTACAAGGAACATATGTGAAGTGTAATAATGAGGCTTTAAAAAGCTACCACAACACACTTTAGTAGTTACAGGACAGATGCTCACCTTTTTAGTAGACTGGGGAGCTACTCATTCTGTCATTAAGACATCTGATATATAGCCATCTCCCAAAATTAGTGGTAACTGTGTGTATTCTGTCAGGGCTGCAGGTATTACAGTAAAGGAAAAATTCACTGTTCCTCTTAGGTGTGAGGATGTGGGTCATTCAGTTGTAAAGCATGCGTTTTTACTCTCTAGTTTGGGTCCAATCGGGTTGTGAGGTGGTCAGAGTGAGTAATATACACCCATTCTTTGTAAAGTACAGCTGTGATGGTGTTATTAAAATTCCACTGGGTCCTAAAACTGTGCTTACCCAGCTAGTGGAGAAATGTATGTCCCCCACTCAGCTTACATCGCACCTCATATGTTTCTGTTGGTCTCAACTTTGAGTATGAAAACACTTGGTACAGAGAACTAAATGATAAAGTCACTATCACGCATGTGTTCTGGTCACACCACAGATGTGCTGCAGCCGTGAGTCTGACTCAAGAGAAATTCCATTTGGACACTGGCCTGATCTAGTCCAACATTTTGAGCCTGCCACACTCGGTATAGTGAGATATCCTGAACTTTCCCCACAGGCTGAAATAGAACTTCATACTTGCATTAGTGAACTCTTAGGGCAGCAGAGACCGAGATCTAGTCTAGTTGTACACTTCACACTTTTTCACTCTTGGTAAATCAGCCTGGGTCCACTACCTTACTGACACCCGTAAAACAACAACAACAACAACAACAAAAAAAACTATGAGCGATGTTTTCTTATTTCACATTAATGATGGTCTAGATCGAATCCATAGTGAATTGATGTTTGTTTCTGTGAAGATAATGTATATATTTTTAGGTGATCAATGAATGAATAATTTTACACTTTGTGTTTCTTTAGTATGTGATGAACTTACAGTGAACTTAAATGTGAACTTTTGTCTGTACAAACTGTCTAACAACTCAGAAAGGCCACCTCGGTCTCTACAAATTGCTGTTACCCGTGTCATGGCTCAGTTACAACGGATGTGCAGGTGCTTCCTGTCTATTACGTGTCCTCTAGTTGAACTGTATAAAGAGCCCTAATAGCTCACTTCCGTTTTGTTCTCAGCTCTGCAGAGAGCTTTGCACTCTGTTGACTGGTGAACCTTTCTTTGCAAAGAAACTTCAAAGAAGTTGTAGTCTTTAAATCAGACTCTCACCCAAATAGAATAATTATTTTTCCACAACACTACCTTGTCAGAATGTCCTACTGTACCACATATTTGTAGGTAGCGCTTTACATAAAACTGTAGGTAGGATACTTTGATGGCCTCAATTACTTTATCAGAAAATGCTACCAGCGCAAAAACCTACAAGTGGGGTAATTTGATAGCCTTAATCTCCTTATCAGAAAACTTTTAAAACATTATGTTAATACGCTATAGTAATGATATGTGCAAGCTCAGTAGGACTTGATGAGTAGGACAAATTGGTAGAACATCGGCTAACAGTTTGAAATAATAGCGACAGTTAGCAAAGGCAGCCTCCTTAAGCACGCTTTGCCACATCTGGTTAAAGAGACTTTTGATATTTTAGGACCTTCTGTCCTGAACATCATTATTACCTCTTTACCACTGGTGCCATTCTAGCCATTTTTAAACATGCAGTGGTTAAAAAGGTTGTATATTCTTAGGTTTTACAATTTTTAAGTAGTAATAGTACTTTTGAGATTATTTAGTCTGGTTTCTAGACTATGCACAGCACTGAATCTGCCCTCCTTAAGGTAATGAATGACTTATTACTTTCTGTTGATGAATTAAATTGCGCCATCCTCATGTTATTGGATCTAAGCTCTGCAGTTGACCATGACATACTTATTTGTTGCCTAGAAAAGTGGGTGGGGTTACAGGGAGAGGCCCTGAGTTGGTTCATATCTTATCTTAAGCAAAGATCCTTTTCAGTGAATACTGCCAGCTATTTCTCTTCCCTCCCACAAGGGTCCATATTAGGGCCCCTCCTTTTGTCACTATACGTGCTGCCATTAAATGAAATTATTAGGATGCACAACATTAGCTTTCATCTTTATGCTGATTATATACAGCTTTACCTTCACATTAGACCTAATGACAATGGCTCTTTAATGTCTCTCAGCAGTTCTCTTGAGGATGTTAAGAGGTGGATGAGAAATGAAGTTAAGTTAATATTGGCATAACACAGACTACAGAATGACACACAACTACAGTGGTCTATTTGTAGTGACAATGCAACAAAACTAAAATATGGCTGTTGTAGCACAGTGTTTGAGAGCTATGTAATAAAACAGATAGTTCCAGTCCTAAAATCTGATTAGCTGAAATTCTGTGTTTCAGTCAGAAGTCGTGTCAACCCCAGGCTGAATCCTAAACAGCTCTGTATTCCCTAAATAGTGTGCTTACTATGAAAGTTTAGTCTAGCCTCTACAACCAAATAGTGCAGCACTTATCGAGTATGGATATGGCTGAGTCCCAAATGACTGTTATATTTTGCAGTGTTGGGGTGCAGGAGCCAGTATTTACATTTCTACATAGTGCACTCTGTAGGGAGCAGGGAGCCATTTGAGATTCAGCCTAAGCACAGGAAGCTCTGAATTGGTGCTAAATAAGACTTGCGGTGGTAACTTGGTGACCAAAAAGTACTTAAAAAGCGAAGGTATTTGCATTAAACAGTGTTTTTGTACGACACTGTTGTACAGCAAAAAGTTAAACAGTTCATGAAATGACCACAGTATAAACTAATAGGTGACCGAATGTTCTTCTCCTCATTCAGAGGTCCATAGTTGGTCCATAGCAGGGCAGTTTTACCCTGCCAACACTTAAACCGGAAGTTAACTCTTTGTGAAAACATGACGAATTCAGCAAATATAAGGCAAATTACTGATATTCTATGATCTAAAGCTCAAAGAACATGCATAAATGTATATAGCCAACAAGATTCAGGGAAATGCTGGCCATGAATAACAGTAGCAAACATTACTATTAGCAGTTTTCAACCACGTCATACTCAGGCTCAGTTACAGAGGTGAAGAAAACTTCTTTAAGATTGATGTTAATGGTATAAACATAATCTGAACAGCGTTATATTAACAAGAAGATAAGATTGAACTTACTATTTAGGCAGGAACACAGATCAGTGCAGCTTACTCATCCTACAGTCTCGTTCTCTGGCATGAAGAGCCAGTTACTCACGCACAAGGAACTTTGGTCCCCTTAGCAAGGACTGGAAGGCAGTACTTCCTGCAAGGCAGGGCAACACTACTCCGCCCCATTTTGCTCTGAACCAACCATGAACAACAGCTAATTAGCATACAACACAGGCATTTTGAAAGGACTCTTGTACTGCAGTGGAAGAGCATTGAGATTGGTAAGTTAAACAGTTGTCAATTTCAAAACAATTTCAATTTTAGGAATTCTGCTGAATATTTTGCACGTCTGATTACTCCGTCGTAAGCTGCAGTTCATATATGTTTTGATTTCCCAGGCTGATAAGAATTTGAAGTGCCTGCAATGCTGGTGATAGCTGCCTAGTGCTCCCTAATATGGATGCAAAAGATATGCTATGTCTTTAAGGCTGATGGAAGTGCATGGCCCATTAGCTGGAGACTCTAAGGCTGTAGTAATTATATCCTTCTCTGAAAACGTTTGTCTCCTAAGGCAGATAAAGAACAACTGGTGCCACTAAGGCTAATAAGAGGAGTTTAGTTGCTAGATATCTAATGCAGCATTTCTTAATCCTGCTTCTTGGGAGTGCTGGGTTCCCCAAGAGCAGGAATAAGAAATACTGATCTAATAAGCTGATACATATGAAAATTAATAATTCTAAAACAATAAATACCACATGGATAGTGGTAATAAACAGGCATCTCCTATAAGCCCAGATTGATAAGCCTCAGAGGTAGATTAATGATTATGAATTATTAACAGTTGAAAAGGCTGGTAGTAATAAATAGGTTGATCCCAGGCTGGTATGTGCAACAGCAGAAGCTATACTAATTAATGAAGTGAGGACTGAAAGGCTGATTTCTAATAAATCAATCCCTCCAATCCACCTTACTGTCATGCAAACTGGTCATGATTGGAAATAATTTGGAAATATGAGCAATGTGTCTTTTGGGGTATTGTTGACTGTTTGATAGGTTAATGATAGTGATGTGTCTTTTATATATTTTAATATATGCCCAAGTCATTTTACTCTATGTGTTCCTTACAATATAGATGTTTTATGGGTAGCTTTATGTTTAATTTTATTACACTGTGCATATTGATTGCAGTCTATACAAATTTATTTGATGCATATTCATGAATTTGTCATTCTTTTTTTCAGGTTGCAAAGAATATTTTAAGTTGGCAGAGATAATTCGCGAACAGGCGAAAGTAACTGAGGCTGCCTCAACGGAATCCGAGAGCCATGATCACATCCACAACACAAGTACATCTGACATAAATTATGAACAAAGTGTGCAAGACATGATCTTTCAGTTGAAAGAATGGGCAGAGGGGAGTGAAAATAAGGAAAACCTAGAGTTTACTGCTGCCATTAAACATGCATACAATACTGCATTTGGGCATTTTATAAATACATGCCACAAAAGAAAAATACAAAGGCTGCATGAATACAGACAGAAAATTAAGAAAGCAAGACATGTGGCATTGGAGGTTCATTCATATCTATTACTGAGCAGCAGGAAAAGGGCAGATTCTACATTTAGAAGAAAGTCATGCAAACAGAGATGTAAACCTTTTATATTTGATAAAGATGAATTAAGTTCAAACTCACCAGCAAATTACCAATTATATGTTTAATGCTCTTGTAAGTGAAACTGAAAGAAGCTTTTAAATTCAATTTTTTTTTCAAGTTTCAAGTTTTTATTTACTTTGTACTGCTTTTATTGCAGGTAAAATTATTAGAAATTATACAAGCAGTGAAAAGAAATTATTGAAATTAAATTATAAAACTTTTCTTCCACTTAATCATGCAACTTCTCAAGGGTTTGTTAACGATATTTTCAATTACCACGTTCCACACATCCAGTATCCCAAAAGCCAGGCCTTGGATGGCCAAATTAAATTGTTCGCCCTGGGTTCAGTCCTGCCTTTCTCAGCTCCTCTCTTTGCTGTGCTTTTTTATTTTTGTCAACTCTGAGATAGGGTACTAGAGTGTTTGCAGACATATACTCTGGTGCCTGAACTCTCCTTTCCACTTCCTCTACATAAACTATATATCTGTACTAAAATATGTAAACATACCTCCCTGTATTAATGTTAACGTTTAATAAACATGTATTTACTTGTAATTGTTGTCTATAATGGACCTACCTTCTTTTCCGTTTTCTAAAAGACAAAGGTAAACTCATTCTACGTCCTTGAATACAAGATTAGGGGAAGTCATGTGAGAAGAGTCAGTTTGGCTAGGGGCAGTCACAGGTATGGAGTCAGTTTGGCTGGAGGTAGTTATTGGTGTAGATTCAGTTTGGCTAGAGGCAGTCATGGGTGTAGAGTCAGTTTGGGTAGGGGTAGACACAGATATTGAGTCAGTTTGGCCAGAGGAAGCCATAGGTGTAGAGTCAGTTTGGCTAGGGGCAGTCATTGGTGTAGAGTCAGTTTGGCTGGAGGCAGTTATTGGTGTAGAGTGAGCTTGGTTAGGGGTGGTCACATGTGTATACTGAGGGCCAGAAACAGTCACATGGATATTGCCAGTTTGGCCAGGAGCTGCCCTTTGGGTAGATTCAATGCATTCAGAGGCATCTTTAATAACATTAACAGGGGGTGGATGAATAACAGCCTGTGTTATTAATGGAGATTGATGAAAGATTGCAGGACCTTAAAAGAAATCACAAAGATCACAGTCTGAATAAGTATGTACAACATAACATTTAGAAAATTATAAATAGCTTTTCCATCGCAACACTGAAAAAACTTACTAAATAAATCTGCCCTCTTCCCCTGTTTTGACTGCCATTACCTGAAGTAAAGAGGAAAGTGATCACTGAAAGTCTAATGGGTTATTTCTTAAGTTTTGTAAGGTTTGTATGGCTTTGTAATAATGAAGGCCCTGACCATTGTAGTTACAATAGAACAGAACAATGTTTCTTAATCCTGTTTCTAGGGACCCACAGCACCACACAGTTTCAGCTATTCCCTGCTTCAGCACACGTATATCAGATAATGACCTCTATCAGGTGTGTTGTGGCAGGAAATGCTTGAAACATTGTTGTGTTGTGGGTCCCCAGGTATAGGATTAACAAACACTGCAATAGAAGAAAACTGTATACAAAATAGACACATTATTCAAGAACAGCATATTTAACTTACCATCTCCAAGTAACTTTCTTGTTTTGGAATATCACATGCTGATGATGACTTGATGCTGATGGTGTAATAATATCACAATAATATAAAATAAATATGTCAGTATTATTTTCTGACATACCTATGAAAAAACACTAATTACACAAAACACTGAAAATGTTTTCTTAGGGAACAGCATTAAATACTTCATTTGTCTGTCATGTTTTTGGGAGACATCTAAAATCTGTAGTATAAGCCTGGCCTGACCTGCCTATAACATACCATAAGAATGCTGAATTAGCAAAGCTCCTCATTTCGCAAGACTCTGCAAGGTTTAGTAATACAGAGATGTCTCCCAGGCTGACAACCATGGATAAACATTGCAAAGCTAAGATAAATATTATTAGATGAATCGTTTTGATGTTAATCAGCCTTTGAGGCACTTATCACTTAACAGCTTGAGAGACCTCCCTTCCCCTTAGTGCTAGAGCCATCATCAGTTTTTTGACAGCCTTATGAGCTTATCCAATTTCAGGTTTTTGACATCAGCCTTGGAGGCTTTTAGTTAATTCTTATCAGCCTCCTACGTATTTGTCATGTTTCATGTTATCAGCCTGAGATATCCTTGGCATTATTAACCAGCCTTGTAGGCATACAAGTTCTCTATTAGAAGGTATCCATTTTGTTGTTTATCAGCCTTTCAGGCATCTTACCTTATGAGCCTGTCAGATTTGTTTCTCGACACCAGCCTTGGAGGCTTTCATTTTATTCTTATCAGCCTCCTAAACATGTGTCAATTGTTATCAGCCTGAGAGACCCTTTGCATTATCAACCAGCCTTGCAGGCATATACGTTCTCTACTAGAAGGTATCAGTTTTGTCATTTATCAGCCTTTGAGGCTTCAGCCATTTATCAGCCTGTCCGATTTCAGTTTCTTGCCATTAGCCTTGGAGGCTTTTAGTTAATTTATATCAACCTCCTAAATATTTGTCAATTTTTCTCCACCTGAGAGACCCTTTGCATCATTAACCAGCCTTGCAGGCGTAAACATTCTCCACTAGAAAGTATACATTTTGTCATTTATCAGCATTTGAGGCGTCAGGCACTTACCAGCCTGAGAGAAATCCTTTCTTATTAGCAATGGAGCTATTATTATTTTTTAACAGCCTGTCAGATTACAGTTTATTGTCATTAATCCTTCAGTTAAAATAAGCTTTCGTTAATTGCTGTCAGCCTCTGCATTATTAACCAGCCTTTCAGGCATAAGATTTCTCTGCTAGAAGGCATCCATTTTGAGGTTTATCAGTCTTTGAGGCAACTGGTGCTTGATATCAGCCTAAGAGGCCTCACTTTTTTCTTAGCAGGCTTGGAGGTTTTTGTCTATCTGTTTTACCATTCAGCCACAGAGGCTTTTGCATTTGTTAAAAGTTGTGTAACTGCAGGTTGTAGAGCAGAATTACCTAACTCCGACATTGAAAAGTCTAGCAGAGTTTGCTAATTTACTTGTTCAAACACATCTAATTCAACTCATCAGTTAGCCTTTAATTTTGTATGTTTGATAAGGCAGAAAAAAGTTGGGCAACGCTGTCGTAAGCAGAAACTAAAGCATAATCCCCTTGTGTAAATTGTGAGAACAATACCAAATCTGACATGTCGTTGAAGCTAGCCAGTGTTAGCTTGCTAAACCGAACTCAATGCCAAGCTAACTAGGTAAATTCAAGCTAGTTATGCAACTGCTCTTTAAATATGAAATACATTTACTTTAACAAAAAATATGAATATTAAGAAAGGTCTTTGTAGTGTAGAGAGGTACATAAATGAATGAATTTATTTTAACTTGTCAAGCTCAAAGGTGCTCCACTGTAGTCGAGAGTGTTTCCAAAAACCTAGACGTTATGCTAATTAGCTGTTGTTCGTGGTTG